AAAATTTTCGGAAATTTCCACTTGGTTTCTGTACATTTCTAGCAGAGTAGAAATTTAGGTATATGAACTTGTATAATTAGCTTTGGTAACTCCGAATCGCCGCTGAGGAAAGCGAACGTATATTCCTACTTCAACACTGATCTCGCTTGGGAGTTTAATTTTGATTTATCGTTCTGTTGTGAACACGTGATATACAAAAAAACTGCGCAACTTTTTTGCGAAATACTAGTAATGTCGGCCTGTTAAATTCTTTACTGGAGTTTCACGGGCCGTAATATGAAACAAAAACAGCATTGAAAAACACATTTCACGAGTACTGCATATCACCGCGAATATCGCGTTTTTCACAGAGTAATACGCCACTTCACGTAAAACGGATGAAACTCCAATATTATTTTACGGGAAATATACGGAAAAAATCGTACACGCGTAAATTTTCGCCTTTGAATTTTTTCTTTTCATCGACGAAATTTGGAAAATTTATTTTTTTTTCCTCAGGGAGTTCCTAATGTCCAGAAACCGTACACAATTTGGGTCCGCAATTTCCAGCTTGCCAGTTTTGCATCAACGAGTGCGATATGTAAGGACCAGATCTGCATCGCTCCGCTGTAAAATGTGTCATCTTTTTCCTGTCCCGATCAGTTACGATGTTAATTAAAGATTATGATGCATTAAAACGGAATGGGTTCTTCTTTGGCTATTCAACGCTCACGTGGAGTAAGTCGGAAAAGGGAACATTAGTTCATCGATTTCTCATTAATGGAGTTTTACCGTCATATGGAGAACACGTTTCACATGAAATGAAAACCGCATGTAAGCAGTGAATAGCGCGTAGCATATGCTATGTGTGTTTTACGTGATATGGAGTAATTTGTCCGCTTTACCGTCTCAGGAGATGGTATGGAGAATTGTGAGAAACATATTTCACATTTCGTATCGCGAGAAACGCATGTGAGCAGTGAATAACGTGTAGCATTCGTGATGTGTTTTACGTGATATGGAGTAGTTTGTCCGTGAAATTCGGCAAGTATTTTCCATTCACTTCATATCACCGCGAATATCGCGTTTTCACATGGAGTAT